TTTTGCTCATCTTTCGGCCATATTCAGAAATCCTGGTATAAACCAAATGTCAGCATTACTGTCTAAAATAAAGACATTTTATTGAGTTGATTAGATGAAAAATTACACTAGAATAAAACTGTTCTGATTGGGTAGTTTACATCAGTCATGTGAGTAAACTGTGGTGTCAAACAACCTTTTACAACTGTTTTTGTAAACATATACTCTAAAGATATAATTCTAATCGCTCTCTTCTTATGTAGCCTCAATAGCACCTAAAGCATATCACATTTCCAGTCAGTCCCTAGAAAGCTGAAGCCCTCTGACCTCCAGCCAGACGACCCCGTTAGCGTGGAGACGTCTGTCATCGGCCTGCGCTCCAGGATTATAGCACCTTGGTCCACGGCAACTAAAATACAACATCTGAGCCTTTACCTCGCGAAATATTTCACATTCTGCAGTTTCATAAGAGCGCTGTGAGCCTTGAGGCCTAAATATGTGTTGAAACGAAGGTGAAACCAAACCTCAGACTGCGTTCGCTCACTGTCAGTAGAGGATTAATGGAAACCCGACGCGGTTTCCTCTTCAGGCAAGAACAACGTATAGACGTGGCAACAACTGTTTTGACCTTTGAGGTGATGTGACCAGACTGTTGGTCATCACTCTATAGACATAATTACTGAATGACACCCAGAAACAACATCATAATGTTCACAGGGCAGCTTCCATCATCTGATCTGTGCAGATACTCAAATTAGGACAAGAAACAACATCATAGTGTCCACAGGGCAGCTTCCATCATCGAACACAACAAATAACACAGGCCGCCTTCACTGTGTACTTCAAGTTTATTTACATGGTGAAGTTTCACACAAGTCGTTTTAGGGCAACAATGCATTTAGACATATAACAAAAAATCAGACAGCAGCAGATTACAGCAGAGAGAAAACAGTAAGAAGGAATAGTACCGAAAAAGATATTAATAAATGACTCAGACTGTGGTCTTGGATGGAGAGTAATATGTATAAAAATAGAAGAAGGATCCCTCCGACCGTCACCTGTCTGTTCCTCGCTGCAGCACAATCAGCCCAATATGTCCCGCGAGCCTCATTTATTCCTCCGTGATTGCTGGAATTCTTTGGGATAATATGTCATTAGTCTAAAAATGGAACCGCTGTTTCGATATAATCTGGTGAAATTAGTTATCCTCCCAAAGAAAAGAAAAATGTCAAACTTCTAGCACCATTCTCTGCGGCACAAGTCTGTGTCATGCTATGTATTGTGTAGTACAACCGTGTGTAATAACGGGATATAAGTAGAACGGCACTCGAGGAGCGCAGACCTCCGCCGAGGCCAAGCGCCTGTTCATTTGTGTTTTCACAACCTAAACCAGAGCTGCACCATAACTTAATGGCTTCTTCTTTTGTCTCAGTTTCATGAAATGGTAGCTTTATCCTGCTGACAGACAGACAAAAGAAAAAACAACACAACCTCAGAGGCAACAAACAAAATAACAAAAATGACATGTTTAGCATTCATGAGCAGCATGCAAACCTTTAAAACATGCTTCACAGCACACTGTAATGAAGTCATGTTAGAATAGAGGGACTTTTCACAAGTGTTTATTCATGTACAGTACTTGTCAACAAGTAGAATTTCTCCTATGAAGATTATTTTTTTAAATTCAAACAGCTTTTTTCTGTATTGTCATTTATCATCTGTTCATACAGCAGTTGTAGATGCAGCAAGGAGTTATAGGAGCTGACAAATGCGCTCAAATGTAATGAATAAACACAGTTCTTCTATAGTTTGTCACATATTACATATTTATATACTATTTACAAGCAGGCATAATTTCATCACATTAACCTAAACATCGTCCCCACGCCAAGATGTCCATCCTTAGTTTGTTAGAACAAGATTATTAGACCCTGTTTCATACATTGCTGTCATTCAAAGTGAGCTCGTGGACCTTTAAAAGTTTTCATATGCCAATATTCTTCATACTAAAAGCGTTTTTTGACTGACATTTATATCAGGAGAATTCCAAAGCAAACGCCGTCATCGTGTGTTTGACATTTGTTTTTTGTTCCCAGACATGTATTTCTAGGACAGAGGAAATTAAAGCGCTATAAATATGAATATTGTTCTACTTTCTGTTGTCCTTTCTTCCCCCGCTGATCAAATCTAATTAAGTTTGGGATTTCATAAAACACAGCCCTCTGCGCGTGTTTCTGCTATCACGAGGTATCATCGTTTTCACAAGTTCTTAGATTAGCAACTGTTAGGCCCATTTCTGCTCCTTTGTCACAGGAAAGACTTGCAAGGCTTCTGCAACAGAATACCAGTGACACATGAGAGCTTCTCCACGGCTAAACTCAAATCCTCCGCAGTGCCAAGGTGCATTAAGGAGATTATTGTAAAGACCGAAACAATGCCTGAGCTTCAGTAACATATACGCGTGCCAGAACAATGTTTACACAAGGTTAAAAAAATGCTGCTTTGTAAGTGTCTTGATCTATTTATGCTCCTTTAAAATCTGGCTTTAGTTTACTGCCGTTTATTGTGTGGCACCGTTACGCTTCCAGTGGGGCAGTTTGCAAGAGGACAGATGTGTTATGTCTTGTCTCGCTCTGTCTCATTCCATATACTGTGGCACCTAAGGACACTGTTGTTTCTATTTTAGACAAATAAATGACACTAAATAGTAGTTTAACAAAAAAAAAAAACAAGGGAAAACAACAGTACCTATATGAGTTAGTTTGTAAAGTTAATCTGGCAGTAAGCAGCAGCATTTGTCATGACAATACACTAACTGACCATGATCTTAGGAGTCTTATAGGTGAATATTTACCATTTAAATGTTTATCATTGTCTAAAATGTGCCTCCTTGGACACACAATACCAAAAGGAAGAAGAGCCATGTGATGAACCGCCTGTGGTGCTTCGTCCCAAAGGATGCCAGAGATCAGAATGGGGGGCAAAAATACTCAAGCAAAGAACGTAAAACAGCATGACCAAATAAAGGAGGTCATTTCTGCTGAGTGAACACTGATCTCTCTATATAAGAAGGAAGGCTGGACTCCTCCAAGGACTGTCAGGCCACTAGTCAAGGTGAGTGAGTTACAGACTTTTATTAGCAGGAGGAAAGCCAGCAGCTTAATGAACAATGCAGGGCATGACCACTTACTGCCAGACACAGAGCAGTTGTTTTTCTGCCAGGACCTCACGGCACTGCGAGCCCATTTTTTATTACAGAATAGCCTAATTACAGTTATTAATTTGAGCTATTTGTATTTCTTTCTTTCTTCAGAACGCTCATAAGACCATCGGCAGCTGTTCTCTTGGAAGGAGGGAAGAAGGTAATAAATCTCTTTTCTCTTGTCCTTTTGAAGCCTGAGCTGTGTGTCTATGACAAATCAGACTGTGATTTATGAATTCCTAAATATTCATTAAACCTTTATCGTGCATGGAATCATTAACAAATTAATTAACACAGGTAATTTTGCACATCTTCTACAACTTCTTGCACATCTTCTACATCATCCCATCCAACTCCATCAATATGTCAGCATCACTAAATGGAAAAAATACATTTGTTTTAGTGTTGCTGCCTTTAAAGTCATCTAAGTGACACGTTTTAACAAAGAACTGGAACAGATGTAGGAAGTCATTCAAAAAATTTAACAAAGATGTCTCTACTACAAAAAGTGTTGTTAATACAGTCCAGCTAAAACATAATACTGTTTCTTTCTGTTCTTCATTTAAGTGAAACGTCCATCGCATCACTAACAGTGTTTTTCCTTCATTAAATTCTGAGGGATCATGATGAGTGCAGATCTGAACGAGAATGATGATTGAAACTAATGACAGCTGTCTTCCTCGACTTTCTTGCAGTAAACCAGTCACCATGAGTGGGGACGCGGAAATGGAGTGTTTCGGCCCGGCGTCCATTTACCTCCGGAAGCCAGAAAGAGAGCGAATTGAGGCTCAGAACACCCCCTTTGATGCTAAAACCGCCTATTTTGTGACTGAACCCAATGAGATGTACCTTAAAGGGAAACTAGTGAAGAGAGAGGGCGGCAAAGCCACCGTGGACACTCTGTGTGGGAAGGTAAGGAAATTTATAGTTCACTGCACTTTTAATTTCACTGTCAAAGCTGCTGTCCAAGCATGTCGAGCATGCAGAACAGCTGCACTGATGTGCTCTCATGCAACATTAAATGTAGGACTGTTGTGGTAAAAAAAAAAAAAGAAAAGAAAAAGAGGGGGGTAAAAAACCGGTAAACATAACAGTGAATAAATCCAGTGGATGCCCTACGGTTCTGTAAAACTATGTTTAGTTGTTTAACCTGTGGACTGTAGTCGACATGATATTAAGTGGTCACCACCTCTGATTGTCCATCGTTATCGAACACACTGACGTCTTTTCTATCTTCAGTCTATCACCGTGAAAGACACAGAAGTCTTCCCCATGAACCCTCCGAAGTTCGATAAGATCGAGGACATGGCCATGATGACCCACCTCAGCGAGCCTTCTGTGCTGTATAACCTCAAAGAGCGCTATGCAGCCTGGATGATCTACGTGAGTTTGACCTGATCCTCTCATCAGCACATTAAACAGGATGATGACTGCAGAAAGCTGTGAATGATGCTCTCCGTCTCCACAGACCTACTCGGGGCTGTTCTGCGTCACCGTGAACCCCTACAAGTGGCTCCCGGTGTACGATGCAGTGGTGGTTGCAGGATACAGGGGCAAGAAGAGAGTGGAGGCTCCACCCCACATCTTCTCCATCTCTGACAACGCCTATCAGTTCATGCTCACTGGTAGGAAAGAACACTTTGCATGTTTTAAAGGGAAAACTGTTGTGTAAAATATCTGGAAATCTTCACGTACTAGACAAGGAGTGCTCATAGTGGGACTCCACATCACTGGTATATGTGTTTTGTATCTGTACTAAATAAGGTTTTGTAAATAATGAGAAGATGTGTTCCTGTTTTTACAGACCGTGAGAATCAGTCCATCCTTATCACGTAAGTTTGCCTCTTTTAACACAAATGATCCACCACATAGAAGGGCAGTCAGTGTAACTGAACTTCAGCAGGTTTTGAAACAACATATTTTTAACATAAACTAATCAATATACAGTAATATTGACCGGACACTGCACCACTAATCAGAACAACAGTTTCTTTTGCGGTTTGCTCTGTTTGCCTAAAACCGGATGGTCCTCGCACTAATTGAGCTGTTGTTCTGCCTCAAGTGGAGAATCTGGTGCAGGAAAGACTGTCAACACCAAACGTGTCATCCAGTACTTTGCGACAATCGCAGTGGCTGGAGGCAAGAAAGCTGAGCAAGTTTCTGGAAAAATGCAGGTGAATGAGCACAACTGTGTTGACCAGGCTCACACAGACATATTGAACATTATCTTAGACTAGATTATCTTAGATGAGCTCCTTTTTTTCCCTCCTAAGTCTTTTTTTTGTGAATGAAGGGGTCGCTGGAGGATCAAATCATTGCAGCCAACCCACTGCTGGAGGCCTATGGTAACGCCAAGACTGTGAGGAATGACAACTCATCCCGCTTTGTAAGTGTTAGTTAACTAAGTCTTCACAACATAAAAAAAGCAAGAAGTTATAACTCTAATCCACATTTGTCTTTGGAATAGGGTAAATTCATCAGAATCCATTTCGCAACATCTGGAAAGTTGGCCTCAGCAGACATTGAAACATGTAAGGATCGGACAGATGATTGTGTTGCTGTACCTTTAGTTTATGGAGAAACTGCTGATTTCTTGCTCTCATACTGCTTTGCCGTGTTTTGTAGATCTGCTGGAGAAGTCTCGAGTGACGTTCCAGCTGTCTGCTGAGAGGAGCTACCACATCTTCTATCAGCTCATGACAGGCCACAAACCTGAGCTCATAGGTGTGGGATTACTTCATTATTCATGTTGTTTTTTTTTTTCAATTTGGTGTATGTTCTGGTTTATTAAATATGTTTTTTTGCTTTCTTCAGAGGCTCTTCTCATCACCACCAACCCGTTTGACTATCCCATGATCAGTCAGGGTGAAATCACTGTCAAGAGTATCAATGACATTGAAGAATTCATCGCTACTGATGTAAGAAAATGACCAAATACACAGCATTATTATTAAGAGAGTTCTAATTTGTAGGGCTTCGTCAAAATGCTGAATTTGGTTTCTTTGAATGTTCACAGACTGCCATTGACATCCTGGGCTTCACTGCAGAAGAGAAGGTCAGCATGTACAAGCTGACCGGTGCTGTGATGCAACATGGAAACATGAAGTTTAAGCAGAAGCAGCGAGAGGAGCAGGCTGAGCCCGATGGCACTGAGGGTACATTTAACTTTTCTTTTGTTTATTACAGGCAGTACGTTTGACAACTAACTACGAATCAGATTCCTTCCTGTCTCCACAAAGTCACAACTGCTTTACTTAATTTTCTTTTTTCTTTTTTTTTTCCAGTTGCGGATAAAATCTCCTACCTCATGGGTCTGAACTCAGCTGATCTGCTGAAAGCACTGTGCTACCCAAGAGTGAAAGTCGGAAACGAGTTTGTGACGAAGGGTCAGACTGTCCCACAGGTGAAGTATTCTTATAAAGCCGTGTGATGCTCCTAAACCCGTTTAACCCCTGAAAGTTTTAATCATTTCATTAATTGTTATGACAACATCCATCTGTACCATCAGGTGAACAATGCCGTCATGGCTCTCTGCAAGTCTGTCTATGAGAAGATGTTCTTGTGGATGGTCGTCAGAATCAATGAGATGCTGGACACCAAACAGCCGAGGCAGTTCTTCATCGGTGTGCTCGACATTGCTGGCTTTGAGATCTTTGATGTAGGTTTGGTGATGATGTCTAATGTCCAAAAATATTTTAATCATCATTAAACAAGTTATATGGGTTTGATACAAATAAATATTAAATTGTATTCCACCTTTCTCCTGTTAATATTCAGTTCAACAGCTTGGAGCAGCTGTGCATCAACTTCACCAATGAAAAGCTGCAACAGTTTTTCAACCATCACATGTTTGTCCTGGAGCAAGAAGAGTACAAGAAAGAGGGCATTGAATGGGAGTTCATTGACTTTGGCATGGACTTGGCTGCCTGCATTGAGCTTATTGAGAAGGTGAGCAGCATGCTGTGCTGTAAGCTGACAAACATGGAAACAATCTGAAGTTTTTGTTTAAAATAATCCTTTCATCATGACAGCCAATGGGCATCTTCTCCATCCTTGAAGAGGAGTGCATGTTCCCCAAGGCGACAGACATGACCTTCAAGAACAAACTGTATGACCAGCATCTCGGAAAGACCAAATCCTTTGAGAAGCCAAAGCCGGCCAAAGGCAAAGCCGAGGCCCATTTCTCTCTGGTGCACTATGCCGGCACTGTTGACTACAACATCTTTGGCTGGCTGGACAAGAACAAGGACCCCCTGAATGACTCTGTGGTGCAGCTCTACCAGAAGTCTTCAACAAAGCTGTTGGCATTCCTGTATGCATCTCATGCCTCAGCAGAAGGTAACGATCACAACAGAATTATGAGTTTCTGTCACTTTTATTAAATTTCATGGTGCATCTGTTTTGTATGTTGGTGGCGAAACAGAATACTGTTTATATAAAATGTTTTAAATCGGTTGTAAGTAAGTAATTGACTTTTATTCGTCGTGTTACAGCTGAAGGAGGTGGCAAGAAAGGTGGCAAGAAGAAGGGTGGCTCCTTCCAGACGGTGTCTGCATTGTTCAGGGTGAGATGTGAGACAAGGACTTGTGTGCTTCATGCTTTCATGCATTTTGCTAATTTATTGACTATGTAATTCTTCAGGAGAATTTGGGCAAACTGATGACCAACTTGAGGAGCACACATCCGCATTTTGTGCGATGCTTGATTCCCAATGAATCAAAGACACCAGGTACATGACAAATGCTAGAATGCCAGAAAAGTTTGATGTGTTTTGACTGCTATGATGTCATTGTGTCGTAACTTCTAAACATGTGAGTTTATTCCACATTGTGTCGCAGGTCTCATGGAGAACTTCCTGGTCATCCACCAGCTGAGGTGTAACGGTGTGCTGGAGGGTATCAGGATCTGCAGGAAGGGTTTCCCCAGCAGAATCCTCTATGGTGACTTCAAGCAGAGGTAGCACTGATATCATCTTTTCAGGCATTTAAAAGGGTTTTTTTTTTTTAAATCTTGTGCCTAACTTACTGAATGAAATCTCTACTTTCAGATACAAAGTATTAAATGCCAGCGTCATCCCAGAGGGCCAGTTCATTGACAACAAGAAGGCCTCAGAGAAGCTGCTGGGATCCATCAATGTGGATCACTCACAGTACAAGTTCGGCCACACCAAGGTAGAGTGAGAAACATTCAGCTGTCAAGAACTACCATAGGTAGTTATAACTTAAAGATAACTTGAATTATCGACTCTCAGGTGTTCTTCAAAGCCGGTCTGCTGGGAACTCTGGAGGAGATGAGAGATGAGAAACTGGCTGAGTTGGTCACAATGACTCAGGCTCTCTGCAGAGGCTTCCTCATGAGAGTAGAGTTTGTCAAGATGATGGAGAGGAGGTATGTCTGTTACTGTTACACCCCATCCCACTTGGTAACAAAGGTAACACCCAGGTGGACACTGTTTAGCCAAATTAAACCACAGTTTTAACAAAAATAGGACTCCTACCATTAGTCGTAAACACATACCAATCCTGTTTTAACAAAATAAAAGCTTCACAATCAAATCTCAACTCACCTTGCCCACACCATCCAAACTTTTGGACTTTCAAATTTGGACACATCAGTATTCTCCGTCTCCCTTTCCATCTTCATCTTCCTCTGCTGAAGGCAAACAGCAGCCCAAATGTTCATTTTGTAGTAAAAGTAGTAAGTTTAACAAAGCGGGGGCTCGCCCAGGATATTTCTTTACCCCACACTGAAGTCGGATTAATCGGCTAATTGATTGAATGGGGCTGGTATTGTGCCGAGAGCATGACGACTGCTTTAAATCTGGGGCAGTTTGTTGCCACTGATTTGCAGGGACCTGCAGAAAAGGTTAAACCCACAACATGCAGGAGCAGCGTATAGCCCAGGGTCGTAACAGTTAGAGATGCTGTCTGACTTTCAAAGCATGTATTTCAAGGCTGCAACCTTTCTTATACAATAAATGTTTTCTGATTAATTTTTTTCTTTTTTTTTAAATCAGGGAGGCTATTTTCTCCATTCAGTACAACATCCGCTCATTCATGAATGTCAAAACCTGGCCATGGATGAAGCTGTACTTCAAGATCAAGCCTCTGCTAAAGAGTGCAGAGACTGAGAAAGAGATGGCCCAAATGAAAGAAGACTTTGAAAAGACCAAAGACGATCTAACAAAGGCTCTGAGTAAAAAGAAGGAACTTGAAGAAAAAATGGTTTCTCTGCTGCAGGAGAAGAATGACTTGCTGTTGCAAGTGCAGTCTGTGAGTTTGATCGGTACACTGCATGTACTTGTACAAATTATGCGATATCAAGTGATTCACATGATTAACAAACATACTTGCATTCACCTTTAGGAAGGTGAAAACCTCGCTGATGCAGAGGAAAGGTGTGAGGGGCTCATTAAGGCTAAAATCCAGCTTGAGGCTAAACTCAAAGAGACAGCTGAGAGACTGGAGGATGAGGAGGAAATGAACGCTGAGCTGACTGCAAAGAAGAGGAAGCTGGAGGACGAGTGCTCCGAGTTAAAGAAAGACATCGATGACTTGGAGCTCACCCTGGCCAAAGTGGAAAAGGAGAAACATGCCACTGAGAACAAGGTTATAAGACTTCTCCTTAACAATATGTTATTTTTATTCAGTGTAGATTAAAGCTTGGTAGTAACTCAAATTAATATCCA